GTCCACATGATGTCCCTGTGGTGTTCCCAGGAATGTCCCCAAGGCCACAGTATCATGGTCACAGGGCTGAGATTGGTGTCCCCAGGGCCATGAGGTCCCCATGGTGTCCCCAGGCATGTCCCTAGAGCTACGGTGTCATGGGCACGGGGCTGGCAGCACTGTCCCCAAGGTCATTCCAGAACTGTGGTGTCATGGCCATGGGGCTTTTTGTGGTGGCCGTGGTGTCACCGGGGCTGTGGGATGTCCCCAGGGATGTCCCCAGGGCCACAGTACCATGGTCATGGGACTGGCAGTGCTGTCCCCAAGGCCACAAGGTCCCCATGGTGTCCCCAAAGATGTCCCCAAGGCCACAGTATCACGGTCACAGGGCTGAGATTGGTGTCCCCAAGCCATGAGGTCCTCATGGTGTCCCCTAAGATGTCCCCAAGGCCACAGTATCATGGTCACAGGGCTGAGATCAGTGTCCCCAAGCCATGAAGTCCCCATGGTGTCTCCAGGACTGTGGTGTCATGGCCATGGGACTTTTTGTGGTGGCCATGGTGTCACCAGGGCTGTGGGATGTCCCCAGGGATGTCCCCAGGGCCACAGTACCATCGTCACGGGGCTGGCAGTGCTGTCCCCAAGACCATGAGGTCCTCAGGAATGTCCCCAGGGATGTCCCCAGGGCCACAATACCATGGTCATGGGACTGGCAGTGCTGTCCCCAAGGCCATGAGGTCCCCATGGTGTCCCCAGGGCCATGGTATCTTTGTCCCCAAGCCATGAGGTCCCCATGGTGTCCCCGTGGTGTCCCCAAGGATGTCCCCAGGGCCACAGTACCATGGTCACGGGGCTGGCAGTGCTGTCCCCAAGGCCATGAGGTCCCCATGGTGTCTCCAGGACTGTGGTGTCATGGCCATGGGGCTTTTTGTGGTGGCCGTGGTGTCACCAGGGCTGTGGGATGTCCCCAGGGATGTCCCCAGGGCCACAGTATCATGGTCACAGGGCTGAGAGTGGTGTCCCCAGGGCCATGAGGTCCCCATGGTGTCCCCAGGCATGTCCCCAGAGCTATGGTATCATGGTCACGGGGCTGGCAGCACTGTCCCCAAGGTCATGGTGTCCCCATGGTGTCCCCAGGGCCATGGTGTCATCATGGTGTCCCCATGGTGTCCCCAGGGCCATGGTGTCATCATGGTGTCCCCATGGTGTCCCCAGGGCCATGGTGTCATCATGGTGTCCCCATGGTGTCCCCAGGGCCATGGTGTCATCATGGTGTCCCCATGGTGTCCCCAGGGCCATGGTGTCCCCATGGTGTCCCCATGGTGTCCCCAGGGCCATGGTGTC